GTCCACAGGAGCTGATTCACTGCTGCTGTGTGAAAGATAGAATTGCTTTCTTTATTGAGGGGATTGAGAGGAAAGTTAGATAGAAAGAAAAAACGTTTTGTTAAATCTTCCTATTTTCACCCTAAACAGTTTTATTGGCAGTAAAATAACTTCAATACAGCAAAAGCATGTTTTTTCATAGTCTTTTTTCCACAGAACACAGAAGAAGCAGATGATGTCAACAGAGTGATGGAGGTTCAGGCATCATGAACCTCAAGGAGACAAGGAGGAGGTCTGGTCCACAGTCAAAGGGTCTCCGTTCTTCATCCATCAATCCAATGAAACTTCAAGGTTACAGCAGGAACTGGTGTCTGTCTGCAGCCGTCATCAGGCCAGAAGAGGAGGCCCACCTGGACAGCTCACCAGTTCATCACAGGACCAACCATTGGGTCATGAAGTCATTAATTATTGCTTTATGTTAACTTTCACTATGCATGTGTTAAAAAAATAAAATGCAATATTTTAGTGGACCATTCAATAAATTGCTGTAAATAATGCTTGATTAGCAGAACTAGAATTATGTTTTTAACGTTACAATAGTTTTGATAGTTTTACCTGATATGGAAATTTTAAAAATGCCTAATATAAAACCTTTCAATAGATTATTTCTAAACAAATTAGTTTTTAACATTGACTTAAAATAACTCAGGCTTTCAGTTGTTTTGCCGTCTTCTGGAAGTTTGTTCAGGACAAGTGAAGCATAGGAACTAAATCCTTCTTCTCCATGTTTGGTTGTAGTCTTGGTGAACAGAGTAGGATCGAACTATCAACTGGTTTTCCTTAGATAGAAATCTTTAAATCAATTTGACTGTATAATCTGGTGAACTGTAAAGTGCTTGAGATGACATGTGTTGTGAGTTGGCGCTATATATAAATAAACGGAATTAGAAGACCTGAGTGGTGTGAGAAGTTGATACACTGACAACAAATCTTATGTACATGTTGTCCGATGACAGTGTCTAACTTCACTTCTCCTGTTAATATGGCAAAGCTCTCCGGAGCTTCCGGGACTAGGCTGCACAGGGTAAATATCAGCCAAAGATCTGTCAGTCTGGGTCACTGCTGCTGCGAGCCACTTTTATACACAGCAAGCAAATCTTTTACAAGGTGGGCGGTGGGAAAGAAGGAGAAAACCATGAGAAAAAGTAAGCAGAGAAAGTGTGGACTGTCAGAAGAACTGCGGTGAACTGGTGACAGAAAAGTGAAATGGCGTGCTCAAAGATGACCCTGCACATTTTGAGCATGTTTGGGTCAACCTGCTGCTGTGATGCAGGATTCTCCATCATGAACATGATCAAAAATAAATATGGATCCAGGCTCAAAATGAGCACCTTCATATGTGATTTAGAATGGCTTGTCGACATTTAAACCCACGTTTAAAGCCTTGCAGGGCAGCATAAAGCCCACTGCTCTCCTTAAGCCATAAAAAGAAGGAAAAGAAATAACAAACGGGTAGTTCAGGTGTTTTGTAAAATATGTGAATCAGGAATATATACCAAACTGAACAATTGTTTTTCTCTACTTCAAAAAAAAACTTTAGGTTTTAAAATGGAAAATGTTCCAATTTTTTTCTTTTTTTTCGATTAAAAAAATTCAATGTATAACATAGATGCATAAACACCTCATTTTATTTCAGTGTTAAATTCTGTTTAAAGTAACAGACTACAATTAAAAATGTCTCTGGACCTTTAATGGTTGTTATTTTTCTTTATTTGGACCCCACTGAGTTATAATTGGTTACCATTGATTTATAGACCAACAGAAGGATTTTAAAGTCTATTCTCTGAGCTACAGGGAGCCAGTGGAAGGACTTCAGAGCAATTTCCCAAAGGGGTCCATTTCACGAAGCAGGTTTAACAATTTCAGATTCAAATCTGCAACTCTAAATTGATCAAGCCTAAAGTCGGGAACTTGAGTGTTCGTCTTCATGACGGCTGCTATCAAATACTTCAATTAATTTTAACTAGGTCCATTTAGAGTTAAGCGCGTGTGCAACAAGTATCAAAATCCATTATCAGTGGAGCACCAATTTGACTGGTCAACATGACGACAGGAAACAGGAAGTGCTTATTTCACCTCACTGGAACTAGAATTTTAATGCAGAAATGCAAAATATTCAAATAAAAAAAGGAAAA